CACCTTGGGCCCCTTGTATGAGCTCGACACAAGCTTTCTGATATTCTTCTTCTTCGATGGTGACATTCACCTCCACATCCTCCCCCTCGGCCAGTCTTCTCATCTCATCAGTGACAAAGAAATCGTACAGGCGTTTCTGAAGAGTTCCATCCTGGTATAATTTCCACAAGTTTGTAAGCGCTGATAAACTTTCAGCTTGAACTGTGAGGCACACACAGCCGTCTGTGATTTGAACCAGGTTTGTACCAGCTGGAAGCACACAGTTCTGTACAGCAGCGACAAGCTGCTCATATGAAGACCAACCACTCAAGACCTCCGAGGCGGAAACGATTACTAAACCACCAGCAAACAACTTGAATACAGTCTTCATATTTACCACTAGGGGACAACAAGAATGAGTCATCGGCTAAGTACAACTTAAAGGAAAAGTGACGGATTAGTTAGCCTCATTTATATAAGAGTTAATGACTGCACATGTGGGCCCAGTTGTTCAAATGGAAGAGAAAGCTATCTCAAAGATAATTTTAACAAAATGTGTTGTACTATCCATCGGTTAGAGAATTATTCAGTGGACAATATTATCCACCGCTGGATGAACTAGAGCATGCAACATGTTTGTAGTCTATATCAAAGTCGCCCCTAAAATTGAACAAGATACGGCCTACCTCCAATGAGTGAATTTCTGACGGATGATGCAAGAGCCGCTGCTTGTGCTAGAACATAACAAATTGAAAGTCAGCTGGACAAAATTTTCAAGTGAACCGTCTATTTGTTGGCAATTGTTTTAGAACCATGGTTCGAGATCAGCTGTGCAGTATGCATCAATGCTTCGAAACTATTTTGAATTTGTAAACACTTCCGGAGGCGAATTCGATTGGCCGATCAAAACAATGACCTCTTGGTCGATTAGACAGGAGGGGACCCGGGACTCTAAAACAATTTGTTGATGATAAGTGACGGTGTGGTCCCCAGCGAGGCCCAGTTTTCAAAGGAGGCAGGGTAACCTAGCTGGTTTTCAATGGTTGTGTCTGGGTTGATTGTGCTCGTGTGTCGTGGTAAATGTGTATGTGGGTCGTTAGAAACGTCTAAACCGGAAAATTGGAATCAAACTGCGGCTTAGCGTCGGTTTCACAGGGAGGATTGAGTCGGTAGTGAATTGAAATGAAACTACAATATATGTGCTGAGGTTCTGAGTTGGATTCATGGCCACCCGGTCATTTTGAGCTGGGATTTTTCGCTTCTGGGATCGGGCGTTCGGAAATGGAGTGTGCAGCCTTGAGCTTCTCTTATGTACGTAGTAAACCTAGAAATAACAATAACAGCGCGCGTTATGTCCGAACTTTATTATAAAATGTGCAATATGATCACAGGGATTTATTTTGGCCCAGTTTTTGTCCATTGAGATATGCAATAGTTGAAGCCTTCCTTCCCTTCTTATCTGTATCAAGGATCAAGGTTGGAATAGGCTACTTTGTCCAAGAAATTAACATCCCCGTATAACGTAAACATAAGCCCCAGTTAGCAGTTATCTCTCGTTTGGTCTCGCATGTGCTCTTCGGGATGTCACGCCACGCTCCTCTCATAAAATTTAGGTTTTCTGATCTTTAAAGCCACGAAATTGTTTGGGGTTAGGGATTATCATTCAGAATATTACTCGATTTATTCTAAATACACCAGTTTGTTTAGCATTTAAAATCGCAATTTGTTTCTTCAAATCTGAATGTAAGCTTTAAAAACACAATCAGTTGTTTGATGGCGAAGATAATAACAGCATATCGAAGCTATCAATCGATTTTAGCCAATTCGAAGCAAAATATCTGAAAAGTTCACGCACTTTGTAAAGTTTGAGCTCTAAGTGGATCAAACAAGTTTATGAACAAGAAAAAACACCAAAGAAACACTCAGACTTCTAGACTATTATGTGTCAACGAAAGAAAATAAATAGTCTCACATTTCGTATCGTTTTAGTGCCCAGAAGTGAAGCAGAGCGTGGAGTAAACATTATATTTCCTCGCTAGGTTTTGGCTGGTGTAGCTATAGTTTGTAAAAGGCAAAAGCAAGATAGTTATACGAAGCTTTTCATATTCCATCAGGAACATACGTGGGATCTTGTTGACATCACGACAAGAGAGGGTCCGGCCGCTTGCAGGGTGATGTCTACCATTCTTGATTTCCATATACTTAAGTTAGGGCCGGATTAATATAGGAACACTCTAGCACTAACTTCCCACTTACTCTAAGACTAACACAAACATTGCCCTTCATTCTGAACGCCAACCACTAACTCAGTTACCGATACAAAATTCAGTCCAATGGGAATGTTTTCGAACTACAATAGCAACCAAACCAACCGTAAAAAAATTAACCTTTCTACAGATCTCGTGGAGGACAATTGAATTTTGTAGGATCACGCTTTCGCAGAACTCCACTATGATCCAATAGTTACCTTCTGTGAGTCCTGCCATTTTTATAAGAATGAAGAAAACAGAGAACTAAATACCTTTCTTTGCTTCGAATCCATCCTCCTGGTCTCTTCGTTCTTCAAACTCTTTAACTTCCTTGAAAAGATCGGTCTTTCCCGTTTCTGCTAGAATGACCTTGACGACATCGAGGCAGTCGATTCCCAGAGTTTCCTGATTTTCAAGCTCTTCGAACAAGGAGCGAACATCAACAATGTTACCAATGTTGCCATCACGAATATTTCCTCTACATAATGTGATCAGCCGTTCCATATCATTGAGTTCGTCGAGTGCACAGATAATCTTTTCAAGCAAGCCTTTGTATTCTTTACGCTTATTCTCGAATTTTTTAACTTTTCCAAACAGAGACCATTCCTTAACACTTTTCAACAGCTCTTTCATGAGTTTAAGGCGATCCACACCTAGATAACCATGTTCTTCTAGTTCTTTAAACAATGACAGTCCGTCGTGTACGTTTCCACTGCCAGACTGGGTTAGCTTCCCACGGCAAATAAAAACAAGACGTTGGAGTGCATTAAGTCCGTCGATCCTTTCACTTATTTCGAAGAGCAAACTATTATATTCAGAGGTGGACATTTTAAATCTATGCCAATATCACTTCTTTTCTTGTCTTGCGGAAGACTCTCTTTCTTACGGTTCCGCAAAAGGCTTAGTAATCCCGTAACTGTTATTTCTTTATAGATCCA